GAGAGAGAGAGAGAGAGAGAGAAATGACCGAATCCCTTTCTCCTTTCTCTTCTATTCTCCTTGCGAATCTTTGTGTGTTTATATGCAAGTATATGGTAAATATGTTTATAAAAGTTTACACGATTACGGTAAAAAAATACATTGTGCTAATATACTTGAATATAATACTTGCAATCACGAGTTTCATTGCACCATCGCCATTAACAGATAGATGACCCTTTGTTTCGGTGATTCAAGCTTCGCTATTTATCGATGATTTCCTTGAATCGGCTTCAGGGAATCAAGAGGCACGAGATTGCTTATGTAATAAATTAGAGAATGTTATGCGAGATGGTGGATCGCATGTGGTGTCGGCTTACACGAAACAGATTCATAACTGACATTAATTTCGCATTAAGATATTTCCCCTCACCGATTCAAAGATTGATCCTTACTCCTTATGGGAATGAGGATCATTTGATTCCTTTCTTCAATTCTTTTGCACTGTATTTATGTCAAGTGGTTGCAACGTTGTTTTTATTAACTCTGTAGAAAATTTTCATTAAGTTTTTTTTAATAATGGATTAATTGTATATAATAAATAACTTTACCTTTTTCATCAATTTTCTTTTTATAAAATAACATTTTAATTTAAATTATAATACGTTTTGTTCCATTTTCGCAATGACTTTTTTTTTTTTTATCTTATAATATACCACGCGATTCAGATATATAAGTGGTATGAAAAGAACCACTTCTCATATGCATCGTCAAAAATGCACATAAGCCAGACGACGAATATGCACGAGGTGCAAGAGAAGTCACTCAATGACGCCGTTGACAGGCCATTTCTGGCCGTGGTTAATGGTGTTTTTATTTCTGTGATACCTTCTTACTCAAAAAGAAAAAATTATCCTTCCTATTTTTTTTTTTTTTTTATTAAAATCAAATTGATTGATTAAAATAATTTTTTTTCATTAATTTTATTCTCAAGTTTAAATATTACATGCTACAAAGTTAAAATAATTCATCTATTTAAATATATTATGGATATCTATTTTATTGTAGATTTTTTAATGTAAACTTATGCTTGAATTAATAAGCATTCATTTATTAATTAATAACGTAAATCCAATAATGGTACATTAATGGTACGTGATCAATGTGTACTTACATTTAATATTATATATAAATTTTTAAATAAATCTGTGATCTAAAGAATTCTGGAGACTGCATTATCTCAAAGCGCCTTCGTATCGAAACGAAAAGAGAAAAAGCAACGGAGAAGATACAAATCGAAAGAAGGGAGAATGAGGTATAGAGAAAGAGAAGGAATATAAGAGGAAGGGGTCCGCTCTAAAATAATAAACTCGATACGATCTGAGGCTAGACAAAGTTGGAACAAACATCCAGCAACACTGTACAGATTAGAAAATGAAAAATTTGATCTTAAAATTTCGATATTAAATTGGATTTAATTATTTATATTAAATTATCTTTGTTGATATTAGATATTACTTACAACTTTCAATATTTCCTTAATGATTTGTAAATTTACACAAAAACTATATATTATTGTTCTACATATACTTATTTCGATATATTTAGTGTTTTAGATGTATTTTTTAAAAAATAGATTAATTTCAAATTTTTGGAACAAGACATTTATATTTGTACGGTAAAATATAATGCTCGAAGCGCCCTCTATAGAATTCGTATCTATCGTACAGTCATTTTAAAAATTTCTTAAACTGTAGTAGTGATATTTTAATTTAAAAAAAAATTTTTTTAAATGATCGAAATAATTCTATAATAAGAATTAATAACATTAAAGAAAGTATTTTTCAAATTTATTTAAATCAATTTATGCATGAATTGATTCTAAAAAAATTTTGTTCTCTCATTTATATAATAAAATGTCGCACATGCGCGTTAAAGTATTATAAAGACGTCAGTACTAACAGGTCAGAAAAGCGGTATTAGACAACCGGCTACTTTGTTCGGAAATACTGCCAGGTCCTTATTTTGTTTATTAATATTACATTATGGAGGAAATATTACTGAAGTTACTTGTAGCCGATAACACATCTATTCAACAGGTATATTTAGAAAAGTGACATTTAATAATAGAAATAAATTTTGTAATATTCAAAACACGTGTTTGCTCTTATTCATAACCATTTAAAAGAAATATGAAGTTAATTTATTTAATCTATATTATATGTTTTAATATAAAATACAGTAACGTATACTTTACTTTGCAATAACTTTTACTTTGCAAACTTTATTTTTTTATTATTTTTAATATTTTAATATGTATGTCATAATCTTTTATTTTATTTTATTTTTTTTATTAATTTTTTTTTATGAAACAAGTATTATGGTATTACAGCTATTATATATCTTTTATAGATTTCTATAATTTTTCTTTTAATAAAAAAACATCTATTTTATTTTTCTTATAAATAGATATAAATAAATTATTTATTAAATAGAAGAATACATTACAGGGAACAGCAGAACTTAGAGAAGCTTTTAAAAAACAAGAAACTATACAAGCATTATGTCAACTTATTATTTCATCAAGCAATTCACAGGTTTTTTTTATTTATTATT